CGATAGTACCTTAACCCCTCGATCATCACAAAAGCCGTACATGTAGTAGTGGGGGACCCCCAAAAATAGCATAAACACAAACGCAAACACAACACAAGCTGAACATATGTGTACCCACAAGGCAAACACATACCTGGTGAGACTTCAGTGAAGTCTAACCAAGTATGTGTTTGTGTCGCGTGTCTCACATATATGGAGATGTGGAGTTTTTCGGCTGTTTCGCAGATTCCCTGCGTTCAACAAAGTGTAGGGCCGTGTAGGGCCAGGCGGCCAGCCAGGAGGCCACATACCAGTCATTTTATGGTATCTGGCCTCTTGGATAGCATTGCGCTTTGATGAACGCACGGAAGCCACGAACCAAGTCGAAGAACTTCTCAAGTGAAGAGACGTCACGGCTCCTTGACCTCGTCGAGGAGCTCAAGCCTTTTGGGGGCAACATGTGGGAGCGCGTGGCGTTTGAGTACAATCGCACGGCCCCTTCCGCTTGGCCGGAGCGCGATGGAGTCAGCCTGAAGCGAAGATTCCAAGGCTTGAACAACAAGACGAAGCCTACCGGGACGTCCTATTGCCCACCGGACGTCGACCGTGCGAAACGAATCTACTTGGCAATCGAGTCCAAGGTTGGCGCGATTGAGCTGCACGACCAGGAAGAATATGGCGATGCAGCAAGCGACCCTTCAGAGGGTGGTCAAGACGACATGGACGAAGTCGACGACGTCTGCGTTGAAGACCTCGTTGTTACTCCTCGTCTTGGAAAGGATGCAGCCGACTTTGTTACAGCAATCAAGGTGGAGAAGAACAAGCCTACGCTGTCTATGGCTGCGCAGCGTCGGTCGTCGTTAGACAACTCAATCGGTATGTACAATGTCTATATATATTTATTTGACAAGTTCTTGTCGTGTTGATTGCCATGATTTTTACCTTGACTTTACTGTCCAAGTATCAATAGTATTTACGCTGGCTTGCATGGTCTTGCATTTATCATGATTGTTTATTCTATAATTTTTTAATTGTCATGAATTTATTATGAGTATTTACGGTGATTTTTAGCAAAGCTCGCAGCTGCGACCGACGTCGCACAGGCCGCAGATCCATTTTTATCAATTTGGATAAAAATGGAAGGTGATGCTCGTGCTCGGGATTTCGAGTGGAAGAAGGAGCAGGCCGAACTGCGCCGCCAAGAATTTTTGGAGCGCGAAGAATCGAAGAAGGAGCAGGCCGAGCAACGTCGTCGTGATGACGAAACACGACGTCACGAGCTGAAGGACCGTGAGGAGCGCGAACGCGAAGCTCACAAGCGTGAACAGCAACACGAACTTGTCATGATGTCGTTCATGGCAAAATTGTTAGGGAAATCAAACTAACCTTCAGGATTAACATGTAAATGTTACTGCTCATTAGATTTTATCAAACATCTACTTGACAAATAGTAAAAACCGAACTGCTACAACCGGTAGTTATTTACTTGGTTGAAACACTGATCGAATTTGGGGGATACCAGTCGTGCGGACTCTAAAGTTGTACAAGCGGTAGATCGTGCTTAATCGGCGAGCCC